TCCACCATGACTCTGTGAAGAACAAAGGTAGACCAAAAAATAATTTCAGGAAAGATAGAGGAAAGATGCTAGTGAAAAGAACTGAGAGTAGGTGACCAGCAGGAAGATTAAATCCACACTAAATATAAATATACTGTAAGTAACCAGGCAGATTAGAGCACAACTGCAAGAAAGAGATTTCAAAGTACATACAACTTAAAAAGGTCAGATAACATAAAAAGGCATGGTACGGTGCAGGCTCTATTTAAAAGGAGACAATTTTGAGTGAGAAGAACAAGACACTTCTGAGGTAGACAAAAAGCAAAAAAAGAAGAAGACATACTCTCTGGTATTAGGTGGTAGTAATGGGGAAAAGAAGAAAAAAAGGGGGAAATTTAGGGTCCTGGAAATAAAAAGAACCACAAAACCAGAAAACTTAAAACTCTCCCCAATCACAAAAAGCAAGGAAAGTAGAAAAGGAGGCCAGATGCTGCTAAAGTACCTGGACTTTGCTATATTAACAGAAAAGAACTCCATAAAGTTAGAATCTTATAAGTATATCATAATATGATAAAAGTGAACAGAAAAAAAGTCAAGTTCCTAGGGAAGGGTTATAGAAAATTAGGAAATAAATTTGTATAGAAATCAACAGAGGATATAGTCCACTGGAAACAAAAACAAAAACAAAAAAAACTAGCCATGAAGCAGAAAAAATTTTGTCTGAACTCCAAACAGAATTAAATACATTCAAACAAGCATTTGAGGACATGGAAAATGACAATAAAACAGAACTTTAAAAAATTAAATGGAAAAAAGGGGGAGATGAAAACGAATTGATTAAACGCAGGGGGAAAAGGTAGAAGATTAAATTACAAGATGAAAGTAGGGAGGATATACTCAAATGAAAATTTAATAAGCAGCATTGAAGAAAGGCAAGAAAAAGAACCAAGACAATAACCAACTAAAAATGGTCACAGAAAAGAAAGACAGGCAAATGAAAATATTTCCATTATTAGAGTCCTGAAGATTTTTAAAAAGATTATAATTCTAAGACATTTCACACTAAAACGGAGAGGAAAATAGAAGGCATTAAGAAAAAATAAGAATATTATTCAGTAACTAACTTAGAAAGAGAGTATATCAAAGAATGCCTGGATGCATAAAGAGTATAAGACTATTTGGGGGGAGTGGGTGCTGAGTATGTTAGCCAAAAGGACGCTAAGAAATGTCCTAAATGATGGAGACATAGATAAGATCCAGAGTACAGGTAAGAGGGTTACCTCTCTCTCTAAATTCAAGCAAAGAAAAAGTATAATGTAGGTGTTTGATATTTTGCAGTGTTATTTAGTTATCCAACAATCCCACTGCAATCAACTGTCTTCAGCCATTTCTTAATATCTATGCCTTAAAAATGATTGCCTAAAAAATATTTCAAATATAGACATCTTACTAATCAATATGAATCTTATTTCCCTGCCATCCATATGCCAGGTTCTCACTTACCTGGATAAGCCCAATTTGAGATTTCTCCTTCCTCCGTCCATGGTTCTCCTTGCTTTAACAAGATTTTATCTGACTTCAGAGATGGATACCCTGTTTACAGTAAATGATAGAGGATTTGGGCATTACTGGACAATCCACCATTCTATAATTCAAGCCCACTACATTACATACAATAATGGCCAAAAGTAAAATGGCTGATATTATCAAAGCTTGATATAAAAGTAAAATGGCTGATATTATCAAAGCTTGATATAAATATAAATATAAATTGCTATAACCCCTTTGGAAAACTGTCTGGTAGCAGCTACTAAAGCTAAATATATATATGCCCTATGACCCAGAAATTCCACTCCTATGTATATACCCAGTAGAAATGAAATCTTTATTTCCACCAGAAGATATGTGTAAGAATGTTCATAACAGCTTTATTCATAATAGCCCAAATCTGAAACAACCCAAATGACCATAAACAGTAGCATGGATAAACTAATGAATTACTGTACGGTCATTAAGTGGAATATAATGCAATAATGAGAATCGAACTACTGTCACATACAAAAACACAGATATTGTGTTAAATAAAAGACATCGGACAACAAAAACTTACATACTGTATTATTACACTTACATGAAGTTTAAGAACAGACAAAATTTACGATGATAGAAGCCACAAGTTATTATCTCTAAAGGAGATAAATGGCAAGAGTTTCAAGGGAGACTGCTGGGGTGATGGAAATGTTTTATAGCTTGATCTGGGCAGTGGTTAAGTAAGTGTATACAGATGAAAAATACATTAAGCTGTATACTTAAGATGTGAACACTTTACTATATGTATTACATCTCAATATATAAAAATTAAGAACTTGGGCCCAGCCCGTTGTCTTTAATCTCCAAAGAATGAGCAAGATGCAGGACCCATTTTCTTTGCATTCAAGTTCACTGAAGAGGTAGAAACACAGTATTTGGTACTCAAAATTGATATTCTTTTGAACATAGCTCAAAATGAAACACATCAAGCTTTTAGAGACTGAACAGCTTTTAGTAAACAAGAAAGGAAAGGCAGTCACTTGGGTACTATGGTGGGTTAATAAATGTCCATAAATTCTTTGAAACTCTTCCCTTCAAGAAGTAGAGCTTAATTCTACTCCCCTTGAGCATGGGCTGGATTTAGTAACTCACTTCTAATAAACACAATAAGGTAAAAGTGATAGTGTGTGATTTTGGAGACTTGGTCATAAAAGGCACTGGGACGTCTCCTTGTTCTCTCTCAATCACTCTATCTGGGAGAAGTTTCCCATGTGTGGAGAACAAACCCACATCACATGGTGAGGAACTGAGATCTCCTGCCACTGAACAGCAAGGAACTGAAGGTTCCTGTCAATAGCCACGTGAATAAGTCATCTTGAAAGTGAGTCCTACACTTCCAGTCAGGCTTTCAGATGGCTGCAGCCCCTGCCAACATCTGACTACAACCACATGGGAGACCACAAGCCAGAACCACCCAGCTAAAGTATGGCAAATTCTTGACCTACAGAAATTATTAGTAAGAAATGTTTGTTTTAAGCCACTAATTTTGGAGTAATTGTTATATGGCAATAGGTAACTAATAGCAGTACTTTCTGAGGGAAAGTCCTTACCCACTGACACAAGGTTGCTATAGTTCTCTAGCATCACATCCCTGTACAGGTTTCTTTGAGCAGAGTCCAGCTGCTGCCACTCCTCCCAAGTAAAGTCCACAGTCACATCCTTGAATGACACAAACTCCTGTAACAGGACATTCTTGTTCAATCTACAGTGAAAAGCACTGGGTGTTATATAAAAAATGTATGAGAAATGATTGCTGTTTTCATCATACAGAGTTCATCATAATAAATTAAAGATGTTACTATGAGACCAATTTGGGGAGAAGAAAAAATCCTAGTATAAAAACAGTGCCATCAAAAACCATTCATTCTCTCTTTCCATCAATAAGCATTTATTAAACACCTATGTACTATGTACTATTTAGTACTCAGAATACAAATATGAATAAAACACAACACAGGAAGTTTAGATACTAGTAGATGGAGGCAAACAAGTAAATATATAAATGCTATAAGGTGTTAGTCAAATGGGTTATGATAAAAATAGGAAAGAGCATTCCATTTTGGGACATTGAGTTGGGCTTTATAGAAGATGTAAAGTTATGCAAAATGGATAACAGAAAATGTAAAAATAAGATTAAAAAAAGTAAAGGTACAATTTTTTTTGAAATGTAAAAACTGAATAGTGTATTCTCTGGTAAGATGTGAAAGGAGAAAGATCATTCCAAATGGAGGGAGGAGTAAGAAAAAAGGCATGGGGATGTGAAAAAGAATGGCAAATTCAAAGAACCATGAGTATTTTAGGATAATACTCTCAAACATCATTTAGTCATACACCACATTCATGATTTTTACCATATCTGCATGTCACCTGAACTATTATTGACTTAATAGTTTTAACTCAACATTTGAACTTAAATAAGTGTATTCTGAAAAGAAACCACTAAAGAGAAATGAAGATAACAACAACAAAAATCTGCAAAGCAGGTATATTCTGGTGAAATTCCAGGTATAGGATTTGCTTTAAAATACTCCAGAGAACAAATTAAGGAAGAGAGACAGAAAAGATGTGAGATATGTAAAATATTGATAATTATTGAAATTAGATGAGGACATACAAGGGTTTATTATGCTGTTTTCTAAATTTTTATGTATCTTTGAATTTTTACATTAAAAATTTTTTGAAAATTAAATATAAAAACTGTCTTTAAAGTTTAAATTAAAATAAAAACCAATAAAATATAAGCAATATTTAATCTAATCAATTTCATTCTTTAAATGTGTACCTAGAAATAATGAGAATGGGATAATTTATGATAAGTTAGTAACAAAGTACTACTGAGCTCATTGTTGCTTACATTTCAAACCCTTATTAGGTTCTACCTCAATAAGAGAATTCCATTTGTAAATCTGATGTTAATCAAATCCAACCAAGATATATCTGAAAGACAGTGTATGAGAGAAGGAGAGAAACCAACTAACAGTCTTTGGTTTTTGATTTAAGGAACTGGCATGCTACTAAAGTTAAGAACACGAGAGTAGGTTTGGGTGGAGAGGAGAGGTGGAATTAAGAATTCTATTTGTCCAACAATAACAGACAAATGACGTTATTAAAAAATGGACAAATGACTTCCTTCTCCAAAGAAGATATGCAAATGAACAATAGCACATGAAAACATGCTCAACCTCATTAATCATTAGAGAAATATAAATCAAAACCACAATGAGATACTACTTTATACCTAATAGGATGGTTATAATCAACAAAATGGAAAATACAAGTGTTAGCAAGGATGTGTTGAAATTGGAACCCTCACACATTGCTGGTAGGAATTTAAAATGGTGTAGCTGCTGTGCAAAACACTTTGCAAGTTCCTCCAAAAGTTAAACAAATTACCGTACTACCCAGCAATTCCACTCCTAGGTATATACCCAAAGATGTGAAAACAGGTAGTCATATACTCGTATGCCAATGTTCACCAAAAGGTAGAGACAACCCAAGTGTCCATCAGCAATGAATGGATAAACAAAAAGTGATATATCTACATAATGGACTATTATTTAGCCATAAAAAAGAATGAAGTCCTGATACATGCTACGGCATAGACAGACCTTGAAAATACCTAAGTGAAAAAAGTTAGATACAAAAGGAAAAATATTGTAGGATTCTATTTATATGCAATATTTAAATAGGCAAATTCATAGAGTCATAAATTAGTTTTGAGGTTACCAAAGGCTGTGGGTGGGAATAAAGAATGGGGAGTTATTGCTGGATGGGTACAGAGTTTCTATTTGGGGTGATAAAAAAGTTTGGAAATACATAGTGGTGATGTATGCACAAACTGTGAAAATACTACCACTGAAATGTACATTTAAAAATGGCAAATTTTATCTTATATATATTTTACCACACACACAAATTCTAGTTGTCCAAATTAAGTTCGAGATATCTATTATAATAAATATTCATTGGCAATAAGTAGGCAATTGGACTTGAATGGGATGATTACTGTCCAGAACAAAAAAAAAACAAGAGTGGGGAGAGTGGAATAATGAACAGTGAAAAAAATGGAGGGTCAATGGATCAGAGGTCTGCATAGAGCTGAAAAATTACTGGAATCAAGGTACTAAAGTAAATGAGCTAGAAACAGAAAAAATGGCCAGAGTGAACTGCTTGGAGGTTGTACAGTTATAGGTGATTATAAATCTAGAATATGACTATGGTGGCAAAGATGGAGTAGACAAAAATGATCTCTGGAAATGAGGAGGTATACTGGTACCAACGGTACTGTGTTATCGTGATTTATGATTAAAAAATTATATATATATATTTGGTCTTTGTCCTAGTTCCTCGTTCCTGGCAGAGAGCTCCTAACACACTTGTAATTTCCTCTGATTAAAAAAAACAAAGGTGTCTTTTGTTATGTTAATGAAGGGCTCTTAGAAAGCCCCTAAGAAGGGCAAGGTGGGGGGGCGGGCAGGAAAATTAACCCTAAATAGAGGGTTAGAACTTTCATTCCCACTCCCTGATTTTCAGGGACATGAGTGGGGCTAGAGGGTGAATCAATCACCAACAGCCAATAACTTGATCATGCTTATGTAATGAAGCCTCCATAAAGACCCAAGAGGAGGGAGTTTGGAGAGCTTACAGATTGAACCAGAATTATACCACGTGCTATGTGCCAGGCCCCAAACTCCAGGGATACAGAAACTCCTTTGTTCCAGATCTCACCCTATGTATCTCTCACCTAACTACTGAATTGTATCTTTTAATATCCTTTGTCATATACTGATAATCTAGCAAGTAAACTGATTTTCTGAGTCTTGTGGGGCCCTCCAGCAAATTAATCAAACCAAAGGAGGGGGCCTCCAGCCAGTCAGTCAGAAGCACAGGTAACAACCTAGACTGGTAATTGGTATCTGAAGTGTGTAGGCGGGGTGGGGAGCAATCTTGTAGGAATGAGCTCTTAAGCTACAGGATCTGACACTGTCTCCAGGTATGTAGTATCAAAATTGAGTTGAATTGTAGAACAGCCAGCTGGTGTTGAAGGATTGCTTGGTGGTATGAAGTTAAAAAACCCACACATTGGAACTGAGTGTAGAATTATAAGTACATAACCCAGTAGTCCCCAAACTTTTAAAACCCAAGACTGTGATATTGTAATATAATAAGAAATATATATTTTGGTCTTCACCCCAGCTCCTGGCCAGAGTTCTTAAAACTTTTGTAATTTCCTAAGCAATAAATGTGCTAGGAGTATCTTTTGTTCTACTATTTAGTCTTTGATTCTGGTTCCTGACAGAGTTCCTATAATCTTTGGAATTTCCTGGGTTTTAGGAGTGTCTTTTGTTCTAATGAGGCAACTCTTTTTTTTTTTTTTTTTTTTTAAGGCAAGGCAACCCTTGGTTGACCTCACAGATTGCAAGGACCTTGTCAGTTTACAATTTCTTATTTTTTTTATTTTTTACACCTACAGCACCTGGGCTTCCCAGGGGATCTCCCATCCAAGTAGTAACCAGGCCCAACCCTGCTTAGCTTCATGAGGCAACTCTTGGTGAGATATTTTTCAGTTTAAAAAAAAAAAGCATGCATACAACAACATATACCTTTAAAAGAAAAAAAAAAACAATTTTATTTAAATACAAGTGGATGTTCTCATCTTTTCATCCCGTGTCCCAGTGGATCATCTTGTACATCTAAGAAATGTGTGCTCCCCTCTGTGAAGACTACTATATTGAAGCTATATGCTACATCATGGGTATAACCAATAGATTATAGATAAAAATTACACAACATATACTTTCAAATAAAAACATTTAAAATTGTATGACAATCACAACCACTAAGATGCTGGCTAGCAGTATTTAGCTGAGTGATAAACCAACAGAAACGAGCAAATTCACTTGATCTCCATTATCCACCAAGAATGCTCACTTGATATAAACTTTGAGGCTCTCAACCTATTGCATTTTTAAAAATATATGTATATAAATAGTCTTCCTCTTCCCTTTATAGAAAAGAACTCTAGTCCTTCATGATCAGGGGTGGGAGTAGAAACAATAATCAGCTAAGATTAAAACCCTATTGTAGTGAAAAATTCAGAATTGGATTCTTTTAAACTGACTCGAATAGAGTGAAAAACAAAATGGGGTATCAACAGCTCCCTTACCTGAGACTTAGTCATTTTCTGTTCCTCTTCGGAAGGGGCAGATATCTGTAAAGACAGAGCTTGGATTGGATGAGTAGGGAGGGGGTAAAAAGAAGATAGCATTGAGAGTCTGGGCCTGCCCTATGATTCTAAGAATCATGAGCCTAGAAATTCCTATGATCAATTACATAAAAGACTACTTTGGAGACAGCTCCTGTCAAAGTTGCTTTTCAGAGAGACCACAAAGGATTACACCATGATAACATCAATTATCTTACAGTTCTGAAAAGATCAGGACAGGATATGTTTTTCTTTGAGGATGAAATGTTTATATTCCATTTTATGTTTAAATATCTTCGCCCTTCAGCATCTATTTGTGATTTAAAAAAAAAAAAAACTCTTAACAAAAAAGGTGTAGAAGAAATGTACCTCAACATAATACAGGCCATATATGACAAACCCACAGCTAAAATCATACTCAGTGGTGAAAAACTGAAGCTC